ACAAAGCAGAGTGCAAAATTAATTTGGCAACACATTATGTTATGTGACACAAACTATGTACAAGTTTCTGTCCTCTTTTAAGACATCACCGAGTGCAGAACTATATTCTATGCAATACATGAAAAAAAAAATCACTGAACATGATAGCCTTCAAGTATTTAAAATACATGCCCTTTTTTTCTTCATACAACACAGGATACAAATCTCTGTTTTTTCCTCAGCTTAGTAAAAGCATAAATAAACCAGGAAATTAAAGACAAAAAAAGAGAGAGAAAGCTACCTTTTCTGCATCCCGTTGTGCCTAAATAGAACACGTTGTGTCAGCCTGGACAACTTCTCAATAAAACATACTGTGGACACTTCAAAAGCTGACCATAATCATGAGAGTTAAGTGTGGAATGTCAGCTTGGTTGGGGGATTGCGCTGCTGTTGTTACACATTACTTAAACATGCAGGTTTGTGGTTTTTACTTTATCTTGGATTTTGCTGTAATCTAATTGAACTCTGTTACCTCTTTCAGTATCCTAAGTGTCTGTCTAAGTGCTTGTAAGGATTTGGGCTTAAGGATATTGTAACGGATCCAGAGGCTATTGAAGTCAGTGCAGAAGCCTCTGTAGAGTTAGCCCTCTGATGAGGAAACCTTTTTATCCTCTCCCTTCTTAATACACCTGGGGTCAAGCTTCAGACATGTTCTCAAATAAGATGGCCGTTATGAATTCAGAGGCAAAACCCACACTTACTTCAGCAAAACCAGGCTTTACAGAAGAGCATACCTGATTGCAGTGGGATCATTTACACTGTATGAATTATTATGCGTTAAATTCACAGCATTTACAGGATTATGTCTTTAACAGTGATTCTGGGTTTGGGGTGCCCTGTCCCTGTGTCCATCCCCCCAATCTATTTGCACCTCCGACATTTCCACCGAGGCATGGTTTATTTCCCTCAGTTACCTCATCACACCCAAGTCTTCATATGGATACTACCGAAATCAAATCATACTCTCTGCAGTGGGATGCTTGAACTCCTCAGGCAGTGGTATCTCCATGTAACCATACATGATAAACAAACAGTCAACAAATACACTTCTGTAGATTTTACTGCCTCTAGAGCAGACTGGATTTCTATAAAACCCATGGGTTTAGGCTTCATGTGTCAAGGTCTGCTTCAAATACACCCAGTTTACAGGCACCACTCTGACAGGAAAAAATCACCCTCACTCCCCCTTTCAAAAACAGATCCCTCACCCACTGCAGGCACACGTGTGCTGCTCAACCGCCTAACATCACCATTTCCTTCGTACCTTCGCGACAGAGCGCTGCCCGGCCTGCGGGAAGGGAGCCTGCATGCCACGGCCCTTTGAACCTCCCTCTGGGGTGGATGTGGGGAGAAGCACCTTGCTGTGGGGTGAGACCTCCTGAGGGAAGGGAGACACACACTGTGGGGTAACCCCTGCGGGGAGAGATTCTGAGGGGAGAGACCTGCTGAGGGGAAACCCGCCATGGGGTTGAGTTACTGAGGGGAGAGACCTGCTGAGGGGAGAGACCTGCTGAGGGGAGAGACCTGCTGAGGGGAGAGACCTGCCATGGGGTTGAGTTACTGAGGGGAGAGATCTGCTGAGGGGAGAGACCTGCTGAGGGGAGAGATCTGCTGAGGGGAGAGATCTGCTGAGGGGAGAGATCTGCTGAGGGGAGAGACCTGCTGAGGGGAAACCCGCCATGGGGCTGAGTTGCTGAGGGGAGCGACCTGCTGAGGGGAGAGACCTGCTGAGGGGAGAGACCTGCCATGGGGTTGAGGTACTGAGGGGAGAGATCTGCTGAGGGGAGAGACCTGCTGAGGGGAAACCCGCCATGGGGCTGAGTTGCTGAGGGGAGAGACCTGCTGAGGGGAGAGACCTGCCATGGGGTTGAGCTACTGAGGGGAGAGATCTGCTGAGGGCAGAGACCTGCTGAGGGCAGAGATCTGCTGAGGGGAGAGATCTGCTGAGGGGAGAGACCTGCTGAGGGCAGAGACCTGCTGAGGGCAGAGACCTGCTGAGGGCAGAGACCTGCTGAGGGGGAAACCCGCCATGGGGCTGAGTTGCTGAGGGGAGAGATCTGCTGAGGGGAAACCTGCCATGGGGTTGAGTTACTGGGAGATCTGCTGATGGGAGAGATCTGCTGATGGGAGAGACCTGCTGAGGGGAGAGCCGCCATGGGGTAGAGTTGCTGAGGGGAGAGATCTGCTGAGGGCAGAGACCTGCTGAGGGGAAACCTGCCATGAGGTTGAGTTGCTGAGGGGAGACACACGCTGAGGGCAGACCTGCTGAAGGAAAATACCTGCTGAGGGAACAGACCCACGGAAGAGGTACCTACCATGGGGAGACCTGCTGAGGGGAATCCTACTGATACTTACTTAAGATACTTACTGAGGGGACAGACCCACTGAGGGAATACCCATCATGGTGGACCAACTGAGGGGAGAGATCCGCTGAGGGTCTGTCACTGGTGGAAGAGACCCACTATGGGGATACGCGGCTGGGAAGACCCTCTGAGGGCGGCACAACTGCCATCTCAGCTCCGGACGCTGATGCTCCCCGGAGGAGCTGCTCCTGCCCCAGGCGCCTCCAGCAGCAGAGCGGGCTGGTGGCTTGGGGGGTTTATCCGTGGTTCACTCTCGCCCATGGCGGGGCACCACGATCCTTTAGAGACATGAAATCCCAGCCCGACTCCGCAGCTTACCGGGGCCCCCGCAGCTCCCCGCCGGCGGCACGGAACGAACCCAGCGCCCCGGGCCGGAGAGGGGCCGTGCCGCGAGCAGCAGCGCCGCCTGGCGGGCAGGGCGGCCCCGGCGGGGCGCGGCGGGGCTGGTGGGGGGGTCCGGTCCCTCCGCTCCCGTCTGTGTGTTTGTGTGTCCCCCCCGCCCGTCTCCCGGAGCCTGACTCCGTCTGTCTGCAGCACGGCCGGCAGCTGCCGTTGCAGATACGGTGTCGGCGGGCCGGGAAGAGCGCGGAAACACCTGTTTCCAGCATGGGGAAGGTGGGGAGGGAGCCCGCGGGCCGCCTCGCCGCCTGTAAACCCGGCGCAGAGCCCGCGGGACCGCTTTCCAGACAGACCGCTTGCGGCTTTACACGTTCCTCTAAACACGCGTCCCGAGCCCGCTCCTCACGTGTTGGGTTTTCCACCGTGCCCGTTTGAGGTGGGGTACACACACACACACACACAGGGGCAGGCCCGCCCCGCTCCGTGCCGGGGCTGCGGGGATCCGGGGGTATCCCCCGCGGGGAGATGCGGGAGAGGCCCGGGGGGCTGCCGGCGGTGCGGGGCCGGGTGCGTGCGGGGGCTCCATGATTTCATCGGCGGCTTCGCGGGGAGCTGCCAAGAGCTGTTCTGCCTCACTGCGATGTGTAGCTTTTTCCTGCCATTTTTTTAATAATAAAAGAGGGAGTGAAGCCGGGTGGGATTTTTAATCTTTCCAAAAGAAAAAAAAAAAAAAAAAAAAAAGGCAAAAAAAAAAAGGCAAATGGATCTGAGAAGAAGGAAAAAAAAACCCAACCAACCCAGCAACAGCCGAAGGGGATGCCAGTGAGGTGTGGCTTGCATTTAAATATCCAATATGTCAATGTAAGGGGAGTGTGTACGTATATAAAGTGCAGTTTGCATCCGCCGCGGGACACATCCAGCTATGGGAGGCGCGGGCAGCGCGGGGCCGGGCCGGGGCCGGCAGCGCGGGGCCGGGCGGCCGCAGCCCGCGCTCTGAGCGGCCTCTCCGCTCAGCCGCCCAGCTCCCCCCACCCCGCGCCCGCGGCCCCATGGCCGAGGTTGGCGGCTTCCTGGGCGCGCTGGATCCCGACCTGCACGGCTTCCCCCCCGCGCTGGGCGCCGCGCTGCCCCTCGCCGACTCCCCCGGCTTCCTCAACGAGCGCCTGGGGCAGATCGAGGGGCGGCTGCAGCGGGGCTCCCCCACCGACTTCGCTCACCTCAAGGGCATCCTGCGGCGGCGGCAGCTCTACTGCCGCACCGGCTTCCACCTGGAGATCTTCCCCAACGGCACGGTGCAGGGCACCCGGCAGGACCACAGCCGCTTCGGTAAGAGAAGGGAAGGGAACGGAGAGGGGGTGCCCGGCCGGGCCGGGAGCAGGTGCCCTACGAACACAGCTAATTACCCCGCTAATATAAATCATCCCGGGACAGATATAATTAGACTCCTAAACAAATGCGCTCACTCCCCGGCAATGCGGGAGTTTTTATTTCCAATTTCCTCCTCTCCCGGCGCTCAGCCCTTCTGCAGGTGCACAAAAACGTGCCTTAGCAAGGGGAAACGGGAAAGAAAAGTTTGGGGGGGGGGGGGGGGAGATCAGCTCTAGCTGTGCCTCTGAAGTTAGTGGTGAGGGAGGCAAAGGAAAGGAGAGAGCACGCTGGAAAAGGAAATTCCTAGCTTTTTAAAATGATTATGATGGTTTTCCTCTTTTTTTTTTTTTTGGTCTCTGCAAATACTTGTGAGCTGATTTCTTCTACTTGCAATGAGTTTCATTAGAAGAGCGTCTCCCCAAAGTGGGCAGGGAGCAGTTGGCTGGATGGGTGTCAGAAGCTTGGTTCAGGGAGGTCGTTGGAAAGGGAATGGGGAAGCTGGAGGGGGAAAATCGCTCCGGGGACCCGTGAGAGAAAGGAGAAGATGGAACAATAGGCAGAGCGCCCTGGAATTACCTTGCTGCCTGGGGTACAGCTGGAAGACGGCAGCGCCTGTATCAGTGTCACACGAGAGCTGGGATCTCTAATGAGACTGTATGTAAGCTTCAAAAAATGCATCCCAAGCCGCAGGCGAAGGAGTACAGTGAGTTTGAGCACAGCTAAGAAAAATTCCCGCTACTTCAGCATCTAGTGCAGGTGTCTGTGTAAGCTATCAGCGAGTCCCATGCCAGTGACCTCAGCTCAGTTGTCAGCAGGTTGCAAGAAGTGCTCGCAAGAGTTTTTATGGCTTTCAGGTGATTTAACTCCTCGGTGGAAGGAATTCAGAGGGGGTTCTTTTTGCCTTTACTTGTTTGCAATCAGTCTTTTCCGATACTCCAGGAAGGGTGCTGCTGGTGGTGGTGGTGAAAGGCAGGGTTTGGAACAATTGGAGAAGCTTATCTCCGTAGGGCGCTTTCCATAAACACCAGGTGTGTGCATGGCATGTCCCTGCCTAAATCAACAAGAAAGTCATAACCCACGGGTCGGAGGCAGGTACTCATAGGCTCGTGGGGCACACGTTCTGTAATTACCTCCCCATAGACACACACATTTAACCTTTCATGCTACAATCCGTGATGAGTCTCCATGTTAAAAGAAACTGAAAGCGAACCCATTGCATCTGCTTGGGCTTAGTTCAATCTGCCACGTAGGATTTCTATCAGCTCTTTTTATGTATTACATTAAGTAAGCAGCCAGTTTCAAGTGGAAGCATTTATCTCAGTTCCATTTTTTTATAAAGATTGGGTGCAAGCAAACTTTGGGAAAACACACTGGACAGACTAAAACCTTTCATGAATTTTGCATGCTTTGGCTTAAGTCACACAGTGCATCCAATAAATCGAAGCATTGGCATTCCCTAAGTGCTTTAGCAGTCAGCATCCAGCTCCGTAAACTAGACCAGACTTCAGATACTATAGTTTTCTGCTTCAGGGTTTTCCCAGAGGCAGTGTAAAATAAATAGTTATTTGTTGTAATTGCAAGACAAAGCCCCAAGGGATTAGACTGGAATCCTCGTGTTCAGATCAAGTTGGACTGAACCTCGCTTCAGCAGAGACTCAAAGCAATAACATATTGGCAGAGAGCATTCACCATCTGCATTCGGTAGCCATGAATATTTAAATTCCAATGTTACTGGTATGGTTCATATTAGGATGTCATGTATCGATGCATTCCTAAATTTTGCATGCAGCAATCAGAAAGCAGTAACTTATTACAGAAACAGGCAGCCTGAGTGATTCTAGGGAACTATACAATTGTGGTGAGGGATACAGAGCTAGACAAGAGGGATACAGAGCTAGACAAGGGCTTAAGGGCAGCAGTTTAAAGCGGCCTTAGATCTAGGAGCATCTGGGGAAATACTTCAATCCAGTATGGTGGTGTGGTGGATCAAGCCCCCAGGGCTGGAAGGTGCTCCCTGATACCATTAACGTGCTCCATGGATGGCTGTGGCACTGCAGTGGAGGCACATATCCAGCTGTAGATGGGATGTAAGATAGAACTGGACTTTGCATCTCTGTGTCTTAATACTAGAAGTGGTTCAGGAAGAGAAGGACAGTATCTGCACCCTCCCATGCACAGCCAAAAGCTACCAAATGTACAAGACATCCATGTCTTCCAGAGAGGAAAACAAAGAGCTGAAGTCCTGGTGATGAAGAGCAGAGAACCGAGGTCCTAACAGCGAGGGTTAAAAGGAGGAGTTCTTCTGTACCACAGCATTCAGGGGATGTGACCACAGGACAAACACTGCCTGAGCCATCACTGTAACTATTCCCTCTCATCTGTCAAGGGCTGGAGCACTCCTAAATCACACCTGTCTTCTGGAACATGATATTTCATACTTGTAAAAACACAGCTTCATGCAAGAACAATGTGGCACAGCTTATTTTCACTAGAGGAGGCTTAACGCAGAGTTTGGTGAAGCCCTCCAGGACTATTGGAAGAAAGCTTCTTCTCACACTGAAGTGCCCAGATTCATGCTCGGAGCCACCAGCTCCACCTAAGTCATCCCAGACAGAATAAAGTGTTTTCAAGAATGTGTCTGTGCCCCCTGCATCTGCTAAGACCCTTCCTGTACAAAGAAATAAAGGACAGTCAAAATCTGGAGGGGGTTTGGATTGACATTAGTGCCCTGTGAGACTCCTTCTTGGAATGAAACCAAGACAAATTCACCAGGAAAATGCACGCCAGGAGGAATTGCTCCTTCTCTGCCTCATGCCTGTTTTACAGCAGTGTTAAACAAGTGACACCAATGGCTCTTTGAGAGAGAAAAGGCCTTGACTTTGTACTGCAGACTAATAAAGGCAGCAAAAGAAGCTGCTCTTGAGTACAAACCTGCTAATGGATCTGCAATGCCGGCTCTTAGGGAAGCCAATGAAACCTCCAGGGAGAGTTTTGCTGTCGATTTTGCCATTCAGACAATGGTGCACCTGTTGCTGAGCAGTTGTTCAGGTTTTTAGCCGAAGCTTTAGGTTTGCAGCCATTAATACAACATCTGATGTTTCTGTACCCTGCTCCTGAAGTCAGTCATGTAAGAAGAGACAGGTGCAAGGAGCTGAACTGTTCTTTGAGGGATGGTTTATAGTAAGGCGAGAGCATGCAGGTCCCTGCAGAGCAAAGCTTGGGAGATTACTCCGTGCTTTTGGCGGTAAATGAATCCCATCGGAGTCTTAATCAAATCTCTCCCAATAATTCTCTAGAAAGGCTCAAGGAACAAACAGTGAATAATCAAAGCAAGGAGAAAAGAAAGAGAAAAACCAAGTCCTGGGGGGCAGAAACAAGCCAAAAAGAGGCACATTCACCACAGACACACACCACTACAACCAGGAAGAGAATTCTGGAGCTGGCCCCAGTGACCGCTCCCTGTGCTGCTGCAGATCAGATGTACGGAGCTGCAGCAGTTGGAGTGAGCTGAGGACAGGATGGATATCCACCCACTTTTTTCCAGCCTTCACTCTGTCTCCTCACTTTTGCGGGTTTAAGCTACGTTCTCAATGCTGTTTTGACAGAGCTGTCTTCCCTGCATGTCTCCAAGTGCCACTTGGAGATCAGGAAAGGGGAGTATTGCAAGGGATGTTGTCAGAAGAGATGGACATGGGCACACCTTGGAGAGGTTTCGTTTGCAAAACCAGCATGTATTTACCCAAACTGCACCAGATGAGGGGTGTCACCCACCCACCCAGGGAGCAGAGATGTTAATGCTGCTCCAGGTTGCTCCTTACCAGGCCTTTGGAGACCTGGACTCATGTGCCATGTACAGGGTGTGCTTGCGGGTATGCTCAAGCAAAGCTCTTCAGTTCCCTGCCTCGGACATCCCTTGGTTTCTAATGAGACCAGCAGCATTTTCCTGCTTCCCAGGAGTGACAAAAGACAAATAAGACACAAAAATGCTGGTGCTGACAACTGAGAACTGTACCTATAGGAAGGTCTATCTACTGCTCTCCAGTCACCAGATGTTTTTCACATGAACATCCATTTGTCTCCAGCCTGGGAAAGACTCCCCCGTTTCTGGGTATCCCGGTATTCCTTTACTCCCTGCACAACTTTTTACACTCTCTAGTTGTTGTCAGTCTTCCTTCACTCCCTTTTCAAACAGTGGTTGTCATCATCTCTGTCCCGCAGATGGGAAAACGGAAACAGACAGCAGCTCAGTAACTCCCTCCATGTGTCAGAACTGGTGGGTAGCAGAGGCAGAAGAACGTCCCTCATCCTGCACCTCTTCCCTCCCCATCTGTGGGCTTCTTCTCAGATAAGAAACCACAATAACTACCAGGGAGCAAGCAGAGCAGAGCCAGGGTCCTGGTCTGCCTGCTTGGCTTGAGAAGGCTGCTGTCCCTGCCTGCGCTGCCTGCTCCTGGTGTTTCTGAAGGCAATGTGTCTCCAGGCATGCTTCACCTGGGAAAATACCTGCAGTAGTCCATAATGCGTGTCTTCTGCTGTTTGCTTCCCTGTTTGCCTCATGGAATTGCTGCTCCCAAGTCTGTATTGCATCTCCCTTTGCCCCCATCACCCTGTGGCTGCAGTAGGGCTGGATTTGATGTGCAAGAACCAGAGTAGGCAGGGCAGAAGGAGGATAAAGAGCCTGATAACAGGGTAAGAAGACTAATTCTTGCAGCCAGCTTCTGACTGATGAGCGTGCATTGAGCAAAGGGGGACAGAGGTGCCCATCACCATCTGGTCTGTCCTATATTTAGGTGGTGATGCAGTTACTGTCTGAGAGCTGTCGCACCCAGGCCTGGCCGAGCAGAAGACACATGCCTCAAGCCAAGGGGTGACTGGAGCCAGCCGGCTCAGGTGGCCGCTGTCACGCGGTGATTTTAGACTCAAGGCAGACTTTTAAAAGGAGGTAACCTGATCAGAGCAGCAATTGCTCAGGACCGGGCATTTTGGGAGCTATATTAAGAGGTCTGGAGCCATGCTAAAGGTTAGAGCAAGTCTGCCCTCCTGGCAATGGCAACGTCTCATCCAGCCATTAGATGGGATGTTGAAAACCTTCTTCCTTTCTCTGCTGCTACTTCCCAGCTAAAGACTGCCCGTGACCTGTAGAGAGGGAGAGTGTGATACCCAGAGTCAAACACGGTCCCACCAATGCCTTCAGGAGGTTTTCCTGCGGAGTCTGAAGGTCTCCACCACTTGTGATGTTGGCTTTGTTCAGAGCAGTTACCAGTTCAGACACACCCATTTAGGGGCTGTTTGGTTTTAAGTGCTTCACCAAGGGTTCTCCTGTTCCAAGTCTTCCCTCCATCACAACAACTGCTGACCCTGCTGATGTCTTTGCCAGAGGAAATGAGGCTGCCCCTCATTGTTTGGAGCATCTGACACCATCCGTGTAGGCTGAAGCCCACGGAGCACAGATGCTGCTGGACCAGGCAGGGGCTGGCACGAGGCTCAGGGTGACGGAGGAAGGACCGGCAGCTCCATGACACCACAGGCTGCAGAGGAAGATGTTTTTCTACCTATATGTATTTGAAGCTGGATTTTATCCCTGTGGCTTACATACACACCTGGGGGTGACAAGTACCCCACTGGAGTGCCAGGATGAAGGTGGCCCTCACAGACATCTCTTCTAGGGCTTTTTGCTTCTTTTTGTTGAACTCATCACTTTGAAACACATGGGTTTATAACCTCAAACCAGAAGCCCCTTGGTGACAAAAGTCACTCTCCTTTTAGTGAAGAGCAAAACCCAGCCTGGTAACAGCCTTCTGAAATGTCTAGTGAGTTAGAGACAAGTTTCTACATCTGTCTTCTTGGTGATAACTAGGGAAAACCAAGCCCCATGCCCCAAAACCAAGCCAACAAAACCCAGCAATCCTTTTCTTATTAGCAAAGGCAATTCCTCTTTGGTGGGGAGAAGCCTAGAGTCTGAAGATTACACACATATGGGCTATAGACTGTTGTTATAAATAAGGGAAACAGGGTCTGCAAGGGCTGGGAAAGGCTGGTTTGTCACGCGAGCCTGGTGGTGGGTTTATTCTCTGTATGATCTGGACTTCTTTTCCTGTTTCAGGGATTTTGGAGTTTATTAGCCTGGCAGTGGGGCTGGTGAGCATCCGTGGGGTGGACTCAGGACTCTACCTCGGCATGAATGAGAGAGGCGAGCTCTATGGGTCGGTAAGTGTACGGGGTTAAACAACATCCGCAGCAATGGGGTTGTGGGCCCTCATCAGTGTCATGAGCTGTGTCTGCCACAGGCCTCCGAAGTCCTTGGGCTGCCGCATGCCTCCATCCTACCCTGATGCCACTGTTGTAACATAAATAAGTGCAATAGGGTTGTGGAGGGAGGATGCACTCGTGCCTGGACAGCTGGGGTGCTTGTCAAGGTTTTGCCTTTCAGAAATGGTGTGAGAACAGTCAACTAAAGGCGGCGGGGGAAATATAGCATAAATCCAGGGGCTGCTTTGGGGCTTTCACTGCCTAATACATCAGTGTTGCACTCTGCATGGTCACGGTCTGCACCCATCTGCAGGTGTTACATCCCTATTACAGCTCTTTAACTAATGGAAGCTGAGTTGAGGTCTTAACAGCTGGGCAGAGGTGCTTCCTACCAGCTAATTTAACTCAATTCCTAATTACTTAACTCAATGTAAACCAGTTATTTCTACTTAGCTGGAAGAATCACTTCTATTTTGAATTATTAACTGCATTCTAGGTAGCCAGGTTGAGGTTTCCTTTTCGGTAGCTGCTGTGCTTCATTGGTGCTTTTTCTTCAGATGCCCCATTGCCTTTAATTCAACCCATCACCCACGTGTGATCTTTTAAACGCCTCTTCCTAGATCTCAGCACTACCCTGTATATGATGAGGATATTGATTTTTAAACACGGATCACACTAAGTTTAAATAACAAAACAAACCAGTTTTAAACCAAAGTGGGAGGCATGTACTTCCTCTAACCAGATCAGCTCAACCTCATAGCACAGGGACTTAAACTTGGGTACTCTGCATATAGAGAAGCTTTCTGAAAACCTTTGCTTAGCAAACAGTAAACCATGAGTTTCCATCATCTTTTCTTCTCCCATTCCCATCTGAGACTGCTGCAGACCCTTCCACTATTTAAGATGCACTTACTGATGTCTATGTGAGAGAATCTAACATGAATCAAAACCTTACTTTTCCACTTCATTTTTGTAATAACATCTACCCTACGCTGAAGTTAAATGTGGAGGCAGTGGTTAAATTACAAATGTTCAAGACAGATAAAAAGCAAAACCACCAGGATTCCATAAAACATAAACGAACCTTAAAGCACAGTTCAGAACACAGGGCTGGAGCCTAGAGCAGCACCTCTCCTGTCAAACCCTGCTCAGCACCTCTTGGAGTTGCAGCTTTTACTGGTGGAAAGGAGGACACAGCCCTGCCTGTTCCCTTCCTGCTTCCAAACCCTGCAGCTCTGCTGATGAATCAGCAGTTTCATGATGGGTCAATTAAACTCTAGGGCCTGAGTACAGGTTACGACACAGAAACAGAAATACCACGATGGCTTTTCAGCATCAAAAGCCACTCCAGTATTCCTAAATAGAGGTCCATAAAACAGCACCTGACAGCAGCATTAGCATCACACTGGCATTTTAGGAGGTTACAGTACAGGTGTAATCAGCAGTTTATCATTTCCCTCTGTGCCAGTTTTGATGTATGTTTTGATACAGCCAGAGCCAGCCATCCCCAGTGACATGGAATTCCCTTGGGACAGTGTCCCTGCCTGTCCCTGTCCACCTTGTGCCAAGGTTTCTGTTAAGCTTCCCCCTGATTTCAGAAGCACAACTAATAGAGCAGTGACAGTCACAGGCAGCACCCTGCACACTGCCCATACAGTGCCAGGCTCAGTGGGGACATCCCAGGGCTTGGAAAGAAATCAATCCCACATTGACTCACCCCAGGCTTTCCAAGCATCTGGCACACACACACTGCACCTCTGGACAGCCCAGTGAAGAGCAGGTGAACTGGGGCAAAGCAGCAGCACGTGGGTTCAGCTGGTCAGCAGCTTCTGATGTGTTCTGAGCAGACATCCTAGGGGAAGAAAGAAAATAGTCTGTATTTATGGATAGGACTGGGAAGAGAAAGCCCCGGTACCTGGTTCTCAGGTGGCAAAGGGCATGGTGTTTTGGAGGGCTCACAACTCACCTCAGGGTTTATTTAATTAACAGTAAAACATTCAAAACAGGCTCTGAGTGCAGGGGAGCTTCTGGGTCTTATGACAAGAGATCTACTGCAGGCCGCAGCAGTTACTTAGCACTCTGTATGCCCTAGGTAAGATACATTCCCTCCCTGACTAGCTCACCGTGTAGGTGCAGTGTTTGTAATCCTATAGCATCCTACGTTTGCAGACAGCCTTTCATCTGCAGGACTCCCAGCTCCCCCACAGCAATCCCTCCATGGGATGGGCTGGGGGTCCCTCTGCGACACAAAGCCACCCATGTCCTCGTGGGGCAGAGGGACAGCCCCCTCCTCATGGTCTGGGCACATCCCTGTAGCACATGGAAAGCGCAATGAGCATGAACGGAAAATGCATCATCAAATGGCTGCTGTCAACAGCCCCTGGCTGGAAGGGTTGAGGGAAAGGCTGGTTGTGGCTGCAGTGACACTGGTGCCACCCATCCCAGCCATGGGTTGGCACACACATCCCATCACCCATCACTGCTGTACGTCTTCCCCGGGGTTAGACATCCCCATCCAGCCCTCTCCCTCCAGGACTTGTGGCCTCACATCACAGCTATCTGGCGCTTCAGAAGATGAAAGGCCCCAGGAATGCTTTCATTCCTGCTGCAGTGTGTACTGTTACGTGCCCTCAGCTTTCAAAGCAGAGCTGGCTCCTGTATAAACCCTCCTGAGGCACTGCCTGAGGTTGTCCCTCACCTAAGGGAGCAGTTCTGGTGTGTGTGGTACCTGTGGACGGGGCTGCTGAGCACAGAACTCGCACCCTGAAGCACAGAGACCTCGCTGTCAGGTTCAGACTTTGGCTACGGCCCTGGTTTGGGTTTTTGTTATTGGGCACCTTCGCCGAGTGCACGCCCACCTTCTCCTCCTCCTTTTACCTCCTTCCTCCTCCAGCTTCAGAGGTGTTGGGGTCCCGGTTTGTGCTCATTTCCAGCTCTCAGCCAGGGGAAACATCCCCAGCAGTGCAGTCCCTGTCCTCAGGGAGTCAGGGGAGGGCAGCTGGGAAAATGACAGGGAAAAAAGCGAAGGGAAGGAGGAAAAGAGCTGTTTTCACTGTAACTTTTGACACAAATGTCTTTTCTCCCCCCCACACCGCAGAAGAAGCTCACCCGGGAGTGCGTTTTCCGGGAGCAGTTTGAAGAGAACTGGTACAACACGTACGCCTCGACCCTCTACAAGCACCCCGACTCGGAGAGGCATTACTACGTGGCTCTGAACAAGGACGGCTCCCCCCGCGAGGGGTACAGGACTAAGAGACACCAGAAATTCACCCATTTTTTACCCAGGCCTGTGGACCCTGCCAAAATCCCTGCCATGTACAGAGACCTCTTCCACTACAGGTGATGTTTCCTGCCGCTGCCCCCGTCACTGTACATACTTGGGCTCCCAAGCTTTTTCCCAGAGCACTATATTAATAGTCATTCCATCATTCCTGTAAGCGTAGATGACGTAGGAAAGCACTTACATTGAATTCAGACACTGCTGTTCCTCCTTGTTTCAAGCCTATATAGAACCTGGGTTATTTATGGGGAGGGGGTAGGGAAGGGAGGGAACCCTATGTGTAATCTTTCCTTTTCATTCACTTCCTTTACCTGGTCGCGACAAAAGAGGCCGAGTATTCAATGTTATGGTTGCTTCAAGGAACAAGCAGGTGAACAAACCTGATCCCCAGGGTGGGGAAAGAAACCAAAATCAGCTAAAAAGGAAGAGAAGGGAAGAAAACGACCACAGAACTGCTGCAGATGCTGCTGCTGAGCTGGGGATGGTGACCTGGAAGAAAACAGCCCTTTGAGTGGTGCCCTGCTTAAGCAGCCCAGGAGTTTGCTACAAGGATGATGCTACGTGGACTGGTCCTGACGCGTGGGGGTTTTTTCCTGCTGTTGGGGTGGGAATGGGGCAAGGAACATTATTCAGATGTAAGCATGGATACTGTGCATAGGGACAAAACTATTTATAAAATGTATATGATATTTATTTTATATATTTATTTATTTCAAAATAATTTTATTTTTAATGAGAGATGCTATGACCGGATTTTCATCAGGAAGAATAAGGTCCTACTGAAACAGGAAAAAAAAAATGAGTTTTAAGAGCTTATTGGCAATAAAATTGTCTTTATATTGTAGATTTTCTTGCTAGCCCTTTATTTTTTGGTGCTCTGGTACAATTAACCCAGTATTTCCCCATCTGTATTAAGACTATTAAGACCACCTCTAAAAAGGCTTTATGGGGTAAAGAGAAGTCACCTGAGCCCCAAACTCTTGTATGAGGATGCCATTATACCTGGAATGTATACACCTGGAACGTGACCCTACTGAAATGCCTGGCTGATGAACTGTGATTTCCAAGAACTGCAAATCCAGCCCTTTACTCTGATATGGGCAAAATAGGTCATGGGCCACGTCAAGCACTGGGCACGGCTCAGCTTTTGTGGCTTTGAATGGGACTGACCCAGAACACGAGTCACCGTTGCTATGAAGGGAGGAACCTTGGGCTGTCCTTCACCTCTGTGGCCCCACAAGCCTGGGAAGTGCCGGTGCAGCTCCTGGTGTGAGTCATGGAATGGTTTGTGTTGGGAGGGACCCTAAAGCTCATCCAGCTCCGACCCCCTGCCATGGCCAGGGACACCTTCCACTAGAGCAGCTTGCTCCAAGCCCCTGTGTCCAACCTGGCCTTGAACACTGCCAGGGATGGGGCAGCCACAGCTTCTCTGGGCACCCTGTGCCAGCGCCTCTGCACCCCTTATAGGGAAGGCATTTGTCTCGATGGCATCTGAGGAGCTTCAGCACGTGTTGAATTGCTGTGGATTAAATGTCCCATCAAAACTCAAGTGGAGAAACAGCTGGAGCATCCGCTGAGCATCTGGATGGACCCATCATTCCTGCAGTAAAACCACCACATCTCACCCAAGACTTACCTGAAGCATCCTGGACAATCAGTGGCGAAACTGTAGAAAACAACAAAAGCAATTCCCAAAAACCCCTCGTTTTTAAGGAATTACCATGGATGGAGACCGCCCCTGCAGGCAGCACTTGGACTTGCACATATACATGGCATTTTCCTCATCAGAAGCTGTCTGGTCCCACAATCCCACCACATTTCCTCTGTTCCAGGGCAGCTCCTGCCTTCTGTTTGGCTCCACCAAACCTGCCTCCAGTAGCCCCCAGCCAGCCCCACATTTGCACCCTCCTCTTGTCGGGCTGGCCTGGCTGGGGATGCTCATGGTGGAGTCTTTGCAGCTCACGCCATGGTGACACTCGTGCCACACATCTGCCCTCGCTGCCTACTTGAGATGCCAGAGGGCTGCCAGGGAGGCTTCAGGAATGATCCCAGTTTACTCTTCTGTCCCCTGTGACCAGCAGAGAGGGTTTGTAGCAGAGGTGGGAGCAGGAGTGTGTAGTTGCTAGAAGCACTCTGCAGCACAGAGGAGAGGTTGGCATGAAACGTGGCTCTCCAGAGCATGCAAAAATAGGTACAAACACAGCTGTAGTAGCCTTGAGTTGGGGTTTTCCTTACCACAACTGCACCTTTCACAGTGCTGTTCCTAACAAAGCAATCGAGGTGAAAGAATTCTTGGCTCCTTCAGCTTCAAGTCTATGAATTCCCGGGATGATTTCACTGACTTAGGGATCATCCACACCAGCTTCTTCCTGAGCTGTGCTGCTAACAGAGCAGCAGCCCAGGAGTCCAGCTCTGCTTCTGGCTGTTCACTGCCTTTTATGCCACCTCCTGCATCCCTGCCATGTCCCTTCACTGTCCTAGCAGCTGGGTGCAGCCACCAGGCTGTGACTGCAACGAGGTGATCTCAGGAGCTTTACCTGGAATGATCCAGCCACAAAGGAATTTAATCCTGTGTTTGAAAGGAAACGTGCTTATTTACCTTCTTCCTCTGAGTCACTGCTGAAACATCTCCTCGTGAGCACACCTGCTCCTAGAAAGTGTCCTGAGGAGTACCTCTGACCTTCCCCTGCGCAAAGGGAAATCCCTCAGACCTTGAGCTTTGCTCTGCCTCCCTGGGATGATCCTGCCTTTGCTTTCCATTGTGCCTGAAGATAAATCCAGTGGTTAAGATCCTGCTGCTCTTCTTCAAAACAAAGGACAAAACCTGATCTCAGCAATGCCACGTTCTTCACCCATTGCAAAGGGAGCTGATTTGGTCCATGGGGACAATGTGGGGGACTTGTATGTTTGATACCCAGATCGACGAGCTGCCTCCTGCCATGAAAGGACACACAGGAGCAAGGGGTGGCGTTAACACCTTTTCAGGACCTGGGTTCAGAAAAAAATGATCCTTGCAAACAATAAAACCCACAGAGATTTTGCTAGAAACGCCTTGGTAAAGGTTGGTGTCACCTCCCACGGGGGACATCGCGTAAAGGTGGAGCTCAGCACTGCAAAATCCCACCCAAAGGTTTGCTTTCAGCAGGAATTTACTGGGTTTGGTTCTGGTTCAACACAACACTGCAGGCAGGAGTAACCTGGCTGAGCTGGGAGCTGAGCAGCAGCAGAATTAACAACTGCAGACTCCGGCTGCGTTCCGAGCAGCACAGGGTGCAGTCGGCACTGGGACACGCTTGCCTCTTGTCCTGTCCCAGCACAGAGCGGGCTGTCACCTTGTCCAGCCGTTCATTATCCCACCGGTGCCTGGAGATGCCGACTGCTCCTTTGGCTTGGAGGCTTCCACAGGGCTGGCAAATGGACCCTGCAGCCGGGCCGAGGTGGGTCTGCTCCAGCGACGGGCCCTGCTCCTGCTGGGAAGTTTCAGAGGAAAACACGTTTGTGATGCTTCAACCCAAGAGACTTCCTCATAAATTAGCAACAGGGAACGTTGATGTGTTTGG